GCATTGGGCGACCTATCTCATTTTCTAAGCACACTCCCTGTTCCATGGCAGTGTTTGGATTTCAGAGTGTCACTCAGACTTTCTTCTGCTTAATGACTGTTTATATGTAAATGACTCTGCTTTCTTCTATGGAAAAGGTCTGATCTATCATTCCTGTTTTGTTTTTCAGTTAATGATTATATGTAATTATATTCAAATAAAATATTTATAAATCATTACATGTTATTAATGGTATATACAATTTGGAATTCAGAAAACATCAGCTTTGATGAAAGATACCTTTCACTTTGGGAGGTGTTAGTATTATTATTTGTTTCTGTTGAAAAGACATCAGTGGCCAAGAATGTGCTGTTCTCTTTTGCAGGTGTTCTTACAAGGCTCGGGATTTTTTTTTTAATTTTTTGATAATAGGTAGGATATTTGTTTTGTACTCTCTGGGGAATATATTAAAGATCCACATCTGGAGAGTTCTGTGAGGGAAAAAAATTATATTTTCTTAAATTTTCATGAAGCAATTAATTATCCTCGAATTCCGAAGGGTCTTCAAGAGGTCATCCAGTTCGGCTGAAAGTTGGCTTAGCATTTAAAACCAGACAGTAGAAATGTGTGGTTTCCCCTCCCCCGATCAGTGATCATGCCCTGTTCATTTTAAGGTCTTTATCAGTATTGAAAATAGAAAGAGAAAAATTATCTCGAGCAAGCAAGTCTGTAATTCGAAATTTGCCAGCCCCCGAGGTTCAGGTGCAGTTTACTGTTTCTCTTGCTCTGTTAGTCACACATAGAGCTGCAAATGGAAAACTGTCTCAAAGCAAAAGGTCGAATTCTCAGAGGAGAGTGGGCTGTAGAAGCAGCATCTAGGGGCCTTCCTTGGTGTAGAGGACAGCAGGAAACCAAAGGAAAACTTAGCTCAGGATGAGCAGATGGTGCTGTATAAGGCCAGAGTTTCTGGAAGGGCTCCCGGATGAGGTCTGGGGCCAGGCAGCATTCTGAGCACAGCGGCTCTTTCCTCTGAGGTTGCCCTGTTTCTAGAAGCACGTTAACCAGAGACACACTGGGTGAGAGATTTAGCCTTGAATCTTCAGCCGAATTGATGCAGACCTTTTAATTCCTGCCTTAAAATAGGATGGGGTGCCAAATGTATGTGAATACTGTGTGTATGGAACAACAGATTTTCTCAGAGGCTCTCTCAGCCTGTTTTGATTTGGATCATAACTGTGACCATGCATTATGTACACATTGATGTAGCATAAGGAAAATTAAAAATGCGCTTAGTAGGCTGACCTAAATGCTCCTGTAGCTGGCTCCAAATGTGTATTTTGGATGCTTTGGAACATGACAGCACATTTTTTTTTTTTCCACAAGCTTTTCTATATTCAACATTAAGGCTCCAAGGATTTCATGTCAGGTACTATAAATGCAATATAAATTAGGGAAATCAGCCAGAGGCACACTAAGAAGATGCCATGAGATTCTAGTTTTTCTCCATTTTAGACTTTTATTTCCCCATTATTTGGTTGTAACGTAAAATCATTCATCTATTAATTTTTTATCTAGAAACTTTAAAATGTGACAGATGTTGATGTCAAGCTCTTTAAAATCCTAAGCTCTAGATCTCTTAAATGTCACTGTCTATATTGGTTCTGGGTAAATCACTTTATTTTCCTCGACTAGAGTTTTCCTTCTGGTAAAATAGGAGAGCTGAACTCCCACGTCGCTTCCAAATCTTTTTGTTCTATGACTGCATGTTACTTCTCTTCATTGTGCTCAGGATTATGCAAAACATTTTGGAGGACAGACTTGAGGGTTGTATTTTAACTTTTCAACATGTATTCATATCTCTTAACTTGTTTCTTCTTGTGAATCCTCTGTGATACTGACTTCTCCCAACCCCCTGCCTTCCCTAGCCCATGTCATATTACCGTTCACTCACTACTCTTGTCTCTTGGCTGCCACTGCTTTCTAACTGGTCTCTCTGCTTCCACGCTTGCCCTCCAGTGATCTCTTCTTCACACAGCACCACCATGATGTTTGAAAGCTAAGACAGAACATGCATTTTTCCTGCCTAAAACCTTTGGTTGACTTCCCATTGTCCTTGGAAATACAAATCTATTCCTGCCTCAGGGCCTTTGCACGTGCTATTCCTTTTGCTAGGAGTACTCCCCCACCCCCCCCCCAGATCTTTCTACATCTCCCTTTTTTATTGCTTAATGAAAATCTGCTTTTTAAGTAGGTTACAGCTTAAATATCACCCCTTCATAGAAGCCTTCCCTGACTACTCTCAAATGGTCACGTCCCGTGCTTAATATCTGACACATTACATGGTTATACTATCTGCAGAACATATTTCACCTGAAATTATCCTGTCTACTGATTTTTATTGTTGTTCTTGCCCGTATCATCCCGGCAGCATATATGCTTCATGGGCTCACAGCGTCCGTTGCCTTGTTCCAGTGCATATCCTTAGCATCTAGAGCAGAGTCCGGCATATAGTAGTTGCCCAAGATGTGTTTGTACAACAGATGAATGAATGACTAGATGGATGCTCCAGGCAGGAAAACTACAGTCCAGAGAAGTTGTAGTCACATAGCTGATTAGAATCAAAGCCCAGGTCAGAAATCAGGCTCCTTCAGACATTTCTTTCCTCCAGGTCATGCTGCCATACACAAGCCTACGTTAGAGATTGGTCATTCGATCATTGTTTATTTATTCACCAAATAATTATTGAGCTCGTACTATGTTTTAGGCACTCTTCTAGATCAGTTGTTCTCCACCAGCAGTGATGTTGCTTCTCTGGGACATGCTGCCGATGTCTGGAGGCAGTTTTGGTGGTTACAATGGGTGTGAGAGATGCTATTGGCACCTAGTGGGTAGAGGACAGAGATACTGCTAAACATCCTACATTCTACAGGACGGCCTCCCACAGCAAAGAACTATGCAGCCTAAAATGTCAATAGTGCTAAGGGTGGGAAAACCTGTTCTAAATGAACAGACAGAGATGCCTGCTTTTACAGAGTTTATAGACTAGTGTGGGGAGGCAGATAATAAACAGTATGTATCATACAGAAATTGCAGACTGTGTCAAAAAGTGTTACGAAGGAAGGAAAGAAAAGGTAGAATAGTGTAAGGAGGAGTGCTGGTAGGTGCCGTGGGCTGTGATGCGGGTAGGAAGGGCTGTGGTTTTGGTCTCTTTGGGAGGTGCATCAGGAAAGGGAATTTTGCCTCTGGAAGTTAAGCTCCATAACCTGGAAACGAGCAGTCCTGTGAGTGTAGCCCGGTGTCTGCTGAACCAAGGGACATCTTAACCTCCAAATAAAAATAGAGCAAACTGCCATGGGCTAGAAATAATTATTATTTTCTGCCCCCTTTCAGGAGTGTTTAAATTCTCCTCTTTCTCAGCACCTTCAGCCCTCTATCAGCACTAATGCAGGGCAGTGTTAATTTGATGTAATTTTTATTGCTCATTGTGGGCTTCTCACTTTTCTGTCAGAGCAAAAATAGTGTGATTTCAGCCTCTCCCAACAGCGTAGTGAGTTTGTTCTTTGGTTGTGCAGAGATTTCTGTCTGTCTAGGTTGATTTCTCAAACCCAACAGAAGCAATTGTAGATTTTAGTATCGTGAGGAAGTTGTAGTAGTTGATGCTGATAAAACTCAGACCAATGAAGCGTTTCTTTATGTTTATATTTGTGCTTGTACACACACAGGCACACACACAACCTCTGACTTTATGATGGATGAATTTATGGTTTTTCAGCTTTACGATGGTGTGAAAGTGGTATACATTCAATAAGAACCATACTTTTTATTTTTATTATTTTATTTCAGCACATTATGGGGGTACAAATGCTTAGGTTATATGTGTTGCCTTCCCCCCCATCCCCCCCAGAGTCAGAGCTTCAAGCGTGTCCATCCCCTAGACAGTGTGCATCACACTCATTATGTATGTATATATCCATCCTTTCCTCCCCCCTCCCACCTGCCCAACAGCCGATAAATTTTATTCCTATATGTGTACTTAGGTGTTAATCAGTGCAACCAATTTGCTGGTGAGTACATGTGGTGCTTATTTTTCCATTCTTGAGATACTTCACTTAGTAGAATGCAAGGAACCATATTTTGAATTTTAAATTTTGATTCTTTCAACACTTTATTGTAAAGTAGGGTTTGTGTTAGATGATTTTTGCCAAACTGTAGGCTAATGTAGGTGTTCTGAGCATGTTTAAGATAGGCTAGGCTGAGCTATAATGTTTGGGTTAGCTGTATTAAATGCATTTTCAACATAGGATATTATTTTCAACTTAATGAGTTTATTGAGATGTAATCCTATTGTAAATCTCTATGTGTGTGTATATGTGTGTGTGTATGTATACACAGATACATATAGCAATCTTTACATGCATAGACATATGGATACATTTAAGATTTCACTAAAAAGTATACTAAGGTTTGGTTTTGGTAATCTGGTAGGCATATACAGATGCTCGCTTTCTTGATCTCTCTCTTGTTTCTTTACCAAGCATTGGCACCTAATAGAGACTCAAATGTTTGTTGCATGAATAAACAAACTGCAAAAACCAGTTTGGGATTACTGGTTTCCAACTTATTTTTCCACAATTATATGAACTTATTTATGTCACTGAAATGCAATTTGGTAAATATATAGCATATTCTTATGCTGTTATCATTGTGATATATTCATTCATTTCAAAATCTGTGTTTTTTATTTTTAAAGTTATTGCAGGGGATATGATTTAACCCACAGGGTTTCTGAATCCAGGAGGCACAAGAATCTTAGTAGTTAATACTTTTCCATATATCTTAAACCTAGGGAGGGAATGTTAAGCAAGAAAATAGGTTTTAATAAATATCTTGATTTAAATGTATTTAAATTGATAATGCTAAGAAATTATGAACAGTGCACCATTTTCTTTGGGGGCCGTTTTATTCTATTGAAGGGCTCATTGACCAGTTTGTTGGATTTCTTTTTCTTTTTTTTTTTTTAGTGCTATTTCTTCACAATTGAGTTTGGTCTTTGCAAGCAAGAAGGACAACTACGGGCATATGGAGCAGGACTCCTTTCCTCCATTGGAGAATTAAAGGTATGAAGCTGTGAAAGAACATATCCATCCCAAGCAAACTGGTTCAAGGTCATGGAAAATATTGATTTGTTTGTCTGAACATTTCTACTCACAGATACCCTATACATATTTAATATAGAGGGTCTGGCACCTCAGCTGTGGGTGCCGACCTAACTTTTTCACTTCTGAAAATGGGTCATGCCTTTCTGAGTTCATAGTGTGACTCAAATGGATGAGCAGCTATGTGCACAGTCAACAGGAATGACAAATGTGTGCTCAAATATTGGGTAACAAATGGTTGGCTTAAATACAGTGCTGATAGTGAGCAATGAACTAGCGGTGATCCCACTGATTGCAGTTCACTCATGAGTGAGGTTTGGCTAATCTGATTTTGGTCCCCTCCCTGGATCCCTTGGACTCGCCAACATCTATGTCCCCAAGGGGAGTTTGAGGTTACTTCAGCTTCTTCAAAATTAATGTGCATTAAAACACTTATCGGCATGTATAATAGAAACAAACTAAAGAAACCTATTGGATCAGAGTGGCATCTAATACATGCAATGATGCCCAGGAAATGCTATTTTTTGGCCTTAAAATGCAGTTAAATGATTATTTATTCAAGAATTTTGGAACCTGGAACATTCTGATAATTTAACTATTCTGATTATTTAAGAATTGCTATTTAACCACTGGGAGATAGCAAGTTTTAGTGAATTTAAAATGTAATGTGACATACAATCTGGAAATGGTACTGAAATAATTTAATCTTTCTTTGGTTATTCATACTAAGATCAGGATGATAGATTATACTAGAGTTTTTATTTTGAACATCGATTATCTTTATATAATACAATTGGGAAGTATATAGTTATTGGAACTTTTTGGTTGTTTGTATTTTTTTTAATTGATATATATTTTTTTATTTCAGCATATTATGGGGGTACAGATTTTAAGGTTTCAATAAATACCCTCCCCCCCCAAGTCTGAGTTTCCAGCATGACCATCCCCCAGATGGTGCACATCTCGGTTGTTTGTATTTTTGAAAGATGCAATTTAACTGTAGTTTTATTGAGTCTGCTCATGTTATGAGTCCATTCATTCATTCCTCAAACATTTAGTTGAGCACCTACTATGTGCTATATACTGAGCCAGGCCCTGAAGATAAAAAAAAAAGAAGAAGAATGATAAAGAATAAGAAGAAAATAACAATCACCACCTGAACAAGCATTTAAATAGACCTTAGTATTCTGGTGCTTCCACTTAATCCTCATAACAACCCAATGTGATAAGTGATATTACTGCTAATCAAAAAACTGGAGCATAAAGACATTGGGAAACTTTCCTAAGATCACACAGCTAATAAGTGTTGCAACTGGACCCAAATCCAGGCAGTCTAGGCTCTGGAATCTTAGCTCTTAACCACTAGGCTATGCTTCCTGGGATCCCCGCTATCGAGGAGTTTATAGCACATTCTAGTGCAAGAGGTAGATAACCAATCAGATAATACAAAGGTGTGACAAATGTGACTAGCACATATTCTTCCACACCTGAGAGAGCTTCCTGACTGGGGCCCTGCTGTCCAAGTTGATTCTTGAGGAATAGAAGGGTAAGTAAGAAAAGGATGAGATGCGCAGGTCAGTCAGTGGACAGCAGTGTGTGTACCACCTGGACTCCTGCTAAGCCTGGCCCATTTAGGGAACTGTCTGAGGCTCAGCATGGCTGGAATAGAGGATAATGTTCAACTTAACAAAAACCTGATGTAATGTGGTAATTTTTTTTTTTCTTTTACTAAATTGCTCAACAAAAAACCCATTGGGGGTTAATCTCAGTGCAGTGGCCAAAGCTCACAGCAATGGCATGATGTCATATCCCCATGAGACCATGCCCTCTATAGAGTGCTGCTTGATTTCCCTGAAAAAAGAGTCAGAAAATGATGTAGCTCTTGAGCTACATCTATTTACATTCTCCTCAGATGGTATATAAATTATACCACAAACAAAAGAAACAAATCTCTCTCATGGCCCCACCTTTCGACAGGGTCGTCTGATCTAGTTAATGAGGCATGTGTAGGCAGCACTGGGGTGAATCTGTTGTTTTTGTTCCTATTGGTGCGGACAGAATCATCTGGAAATGGAAATCAGCCAGAAATATATACACCGAAGGGCATTGTCCGCCATGCATCTTGTTGTTCTGGTCCATCACCTCCAGTCATTAGCATTCTTCCACTTTCAAATTTCAACACTCCAACATCTCTGTGACTGCTACATTGGGCTATTTTTACAATTCGGAAATTCTTTCTATAAGAAATATCTTCTGATTGTTCACAGAGAGTACATAGCATGAGACGCTTTCCTCAGCACCCTTCCCCCCCCCCCATCTCCCTGCCCTGCCAGTGAAAGCACTCAGCACTCTCACAGCGCTCCTGCATACTTCTTTCATTTGAATGAACAAATGCTGGTCGTGGACTGATGTATGGGTAACTTTATTAATAGCATTATCATAATTCCAGTGTAAACATGCTTACAGTTTTGAATGCAGTTACCTCTTGCAGTAAAATATTTTATGTTGTTTGTTCCAACTGCAGCCCAAACACAGATCCCAGCTAAGTTGCTGGAGGTTTTGGCGTAGTCTTTATAACTTTTTCCTAAGTATGCACAATTCACCTTCTCTTCTTAAAGAGAACACATTCTAAAATTCCGGCTGTAAGAGGCTAAATTTTCCTGAGGCATAGATGTCGCTCTTCAGAGCTGGCCAAGTACTTCTAAGTGGTGTATCTATAGTTTGGATAACATTCATTTTCTCCTCTTATTTTTTTGACAATGCTTATTTTTTTTCTTTGAAGACAGAAACAAAATAAATATGGCAAAGCTAGTAAAAGCTAACGTAAATTTGATAACCATAAAGACTACTTTTTCCTCTGAGTAATGATTGATCTCTCTTTTGTTCTAATTATCTGTTCTGTGGTGTACTTTGAGGAATTCCAAAAGTGTGTCTCGGTCGGGCTTTTCCATATCTCCCATCACTGTGGAGAACAATTAATAATGAGCTAAGTCATCTGGAACACTGACTTAGAAAAAAAAAGGTTGGAAAAAGGATAATTCATTGCCATTTACTCATAGGCTAGCTTGCATCTTTCTTTCAAATGCTTTTTCTCTCCTAGAGTTGATCTAACTATATGTCTATTATTTTTCATTTATTATTTCCTTGCTTATTCATTCATTTTATTTAACAAACACAAAATTGATGGTCCAAGACTTTAAGGAGCTTGGAGTCTAATAGGGAAGTTCTAAGAAAGGGATTGATAATGGATCTTTGTTGAACTCAACTCTCTTGGAGAAGCAACAATGAAGTTGGTTCACTGCAGGTGGTAAGGAAATGACTGCGAATCAATGAATTGGCTGAGTCTTATCTCAAAAAGCTAACCCATCTCAAAAGCAAAAGGCAATTTCTACTTTTTTTTTTCATGGACAAAAGTAAAGTCTAGGTCTTTATTTCCTTCAGGCCAGAGATCAGAGTTTTTTGATAAATAATTTAGCCTTAGCACCTACCTCATGGTAGTTGCTTGAATATTACATATAAATACATCTGTTTTGCTTCTTAAGCTTTGACAAAACTAATGGTTTAAAAAATTACTTATTATTTTTTGGCTTTAGTTTTAGGATATTTTTGTATGGTGAATTTATTGTATCGCCTTCATGTAGCTATTAATCAGCATTCTCAGAACAGCTTTATATTTATTACAAGCATTTGTATTTACTACCACTTGCAGCAACTCTGGGAGGTGGTCAGAATTTCTGCCAGGGTGTGGAGAAGAGGCCCAGGGGCTTGCAGGTCCTCTGAGGTCAACCGGTAGGTCAGTGGTGTGGCTGGGGTTAGGACTCACTGCCGTGAGCTCCCACAGCTTTACCCTATTCAGATGGTTCACACCACCCTCCCTCCTCCCCTTTCTTCTCATGAAGCTGGCACTGATAGTAATGACAGAACAAATACTGGACAATGACAGCTGGAAACTGTGTCTTTGGCCATTACAAAAGGATTACTTGGAGACAGAGGTGGTTCTCTTGCCCCTGCAAGCTTATTCAAACTGGCGAAACCTTCAGCATCACTAATTTAAAAAAGTGTAATGCATCATTGCCCAATTTGGCAATAGGGATATTGATGCCATGTTGTCCTTGGTCAGCAGGAGGGGCATTTGAGGAAGGTCCAAAAAATATTCCATACATACTCATATAATGTGTCTATATGTATATAAATGTGTGTATTTATTATTGTTCTGATGTGGGAAAAGATGATTGTGGTGTGAGCGTAGGAGTGTTTGCAAATTCTTATTCAGAAGGGCCCAAACTACCCATAAACCTGACATCACACTTGAGATTTTTTTTTCCAACTTTAACCAGTCCTAATATAGAGAGTGAGGATCACAGGGTTTGCATTTAGAATAGTTGAGATAATAACTCTGTGTCATTGCAAAAGCAGGTGCCTGGGAGGAAGAAAGATTTTAAACTAATGAACCCAGGGCAGGCGCTATTGCAGTCTAGGGCCTGCAAGCCTCGTGATTAGGGCCATGTTTCTTTCTCTATGGGTTCCAGACCTCTGAGAGAGAGAGGAGCTGCACAAATGGTAGGAGGTGTGGCTGAATCCATATGTATATGAACCATCACCTCCTGACTGAATTTGTGATGATAACTAGTATACTGAGTACTTCCTCACAAGGCGCTTTGCATGCATTACCCCCTTTAATTTTGACCATGACCCTGAGTTGTAGATGCTATTAGTATTCCCACTTTCCAGATGAATACTAGAATAGGCTTACAAAGGTGAGGAAACTTGCCCAAAGTCTTGTAGTTAAGTAGAGAGAGAGCCAGATTTGAACCTCAATTCTGTATCTTAATGACTTATACTCTTAATTACCTTATAATATTTTCTAGTAACAATTGGGTTGTGGGAAATTCTTGATGTTGAAAAGAGATTTTTATATTCCAAAGGCTGTAATGGAAAATAAGTCTGAACTTGTGTACTAAAGCCAGTTAATTGATAGTGGCTGCCTGTGTGGAGGCCGTCCCCAGGTCCAGTGGCAAGGCTGCTATGGCCAGTTTATAATGGTTGGAGTGGAGGGAAGCGATGTTGGTGTGAGTGCTCGATATTTGCAGGCTCGGTTAAAACTGTATTGGAGGAAAGAACCTTAGCATTCATGTAGGTCAATCTTTTCAGTTTATCAAAGAGGAAACTGCAACCCAACGTGGGGTAGTTTCACTCATTTGATATCATACGTCTAGCCTCTGGGACAGCTACATTTAGAACTCAGGTCTCCTGGTTCCCAGTCCTGTGCCCTTGTCTTTAGCACTATGGGTAACCCTGAGATAGTCCTTTTAGAGAGTGTTCAGATGTGACAAGGTGGCTCTCAAGCATTGCTGCACTTTTAAAGTGGCTCGAGAGTAAAAGACTCTCAGCCAGGTTATGCCAGCCGTATAAAGCTTCTCTTTGCAGGAAGTTGGATTAATTCTTGCAGACTTCAGGGTATTAGACTGTTAACACTTCAGGAAGGAATCACCACAGATTCTCCTGGGGACATCAAAGAGTTTGGCTCAATATTTATAGAGAATCCACTCTGGACATAGAAGACAGACAGAGCACAATAGCTGCTCCCCAAAACTGAGGCAGCTCAGTAGAGAGAGAGAGAGGAGTGGATAGGAATTGAGAAGCAAACTCAATAGGGCTTCTCCATTGGGCAGTGGACTTTGGAATCAAGGGAGACATGGATGCTATTTTACTTTCTTTGGGCCATGCTATATAGTTAGTATTCAGGAATAGAAAACCTCATAGGCTGCATGGATGCTCTTGGCAGTCATCACAAAGGACAGTTCATTGTCAGGTAAATGAGACCATTTATAGATGTGATCTCCACCTCATTTGTGGGTCCCATTCACTGGCTCCTCCTCAATTCCATGCTCTTGTCATTCTACTAGCTAATCCATGGGTACCATCATTACCCCCATATTCTTTAACAGCCATGGAGCAACACTAGTTTCATACTTCATTGGTGGAGAGGTCCCCAGCAGGTAACCAGCATTTCACATACACTGCAGGCTCCTGAGGACAGACTGCATTTTTGAGAGTTTAAGACATATTAACTTCTAGTTTTTCCTTTAAATATGGCATTAGGCAAATGTGATCCTTACTGCCTAATGATCTTTGCTTCAAATTATGTGTTGTGAACCCACTGATTTTGAAGTCTGGGGCAAAGCACCCTGCCCCCCTGGGCCTTTTCTTGATCTACTTTAATCCCGTTTACCTGTTAAAATGACTAAATGAGTATCTGACTATCCAGTGGAATCGTCACACAATGAATTTTTCTAAAACCACACTGATTTCAGCTTCTGTTATTGCATATACCCATTCTGGAGGCCTCCTTCACACACAGTGACTGCTAACGTCCTAGAGAAGCATTGGAGACCCAAGAAGATGAATTTCTCTTCCTTCTTGAGCTTGTCCTTGACTCAGTGAAAAGATGATGTCCCTTTTAGCAGAGATGTCCCAGGGAAGCCATGGCTTAAATGTTCTTATAGTCTGTTCTGCTACCACTCTGTCCATGCCCCTGAATGTGGGGATGAGAGAGAAGAAAGGTCAAGGGCCCTGAGTCAGCCACTGTCTTTCCTTCCATATATACTGATGGATGAATAGATGAGTAGAGCAACATACTACACACAGTTAAATGTAACCAGAGTGTATGGCTGCAAAGAAAGCAACTTCTAATTCTGAAAACCATGCCAAACCAATTCTTTGCAGAGGAGCAACAGCTCTCATAAAGGGCATTTTGTTTCTTGAAACTGTGAATTTGTTTTTAAAATGTGGACAGAATTATTGGTCATGTGGAACCAAAATGCCCTGATGTTCACTGCACTGCATTGAATCTAACACAAATGCATTTGCAGGTGTAGTGACCTTCTGCTTATAATGAGGTTGTTCTGTGGGCCAAAAAAATGAGTTCGCCGTGAACAGCCCTCTGCATTCTGTGATTCATATATGCATTGATCTGGACAACAGAACTTTGCAGGAAAGCCAATCACACTCAGGGTGCCCTTTCTCTTACATGTCAGTCTTTTGGTCCTCAATTGTGTTTTCAAACTTAGGAAACTACAGACTTCTTCATGGAGGGCTTTAAATCATTCTATGCATTTTGAAATCGTTGGAGGAATGCACCAAGAATATTGAACAGGAAAAGGTTTTCAGAATTTCTCCAGGAAACCTTACCAGTTAGAGCTTGAGAGGGTAGAAAAGTGCTATGGGTGGAATCCAGAGGCTGGAATAGAGTGTCTTCAGAATCATCCAGCCTAAACCTCTCATTTATTATACAGTAGGGGGAAATGTAGGCAACTGGAGGTTAAATGATTTGCCAAAGTTAACTAGTTAGCAGCAACACTTGGTTTTCTAACCCCAGCTTTCTAACTCTCTGTTTAAGGCAGTTTCTGCTTCTCTTTTCCTCTCTCTGCCTCTCTCTCCCAACTTTTTACCCCTTAAATTAAGGAAAAGACAGAATTAAGAGGAATAGTCCCAAAATATACTCCACAACCACTATCTGAGAGTCACTTTGGGTGCCTTTAAAATGCAGATCTCTTGGTTCTGTGCAGACCAACCAAGTAAAATTGAGGCCTGGATATCTGCATTTTTCTAAGCTCCTTAGTGATTCTTACGTATGTTACATTCTAGAACCATCAATCTAGGGTCTATAAATAGGCAGGTGGCATGTGGCAGGAAATGACCACTAACTTTTAACATTACTGAATTTGTCTTGAGAATACAGTCATTCATTGTTCCCTACTGTTCTTAGTGCCAGTCATGTGGTGAGCTACTCTGAGCTAATGATGGCTCTAAGAGTAATTACCCCAGCTTTCCTGTTTTCCTAATGTCTGCTCTGGGTATAACTACCTATTAATATTAGCTGTTTTTTTCCCCAACTGGCAATGTTTATCTGCTGCATATTGCTCTGCTGTACTTGGTGGAAGGTAAATTAATGCTTTGCAAGTATCCTCAAATATCCAGCCCCACTCCAGACTCTGTTGGTACACAGTACCTGGCCTCAAAATGTCTTGCAATGAGTCCGCACAGATAGTTTAGTCACAGCCCCAATTACCTCCCTAAGCAGGTAATTATTACTTCTGCCATTTAAGTGAAATTTTAGTACGTTGCTTATAGCAATAAATTTAGGAGCATATTTATGCTGTCCCTGTTTCTATTCATAGCACAGATTTAAAATTCCACTTCTGTTGGAGTATAGCTCTGAACTGTCCTTCAGTATGAATTTAGCTGATAATAAATACAATAATGCCATAACCCCATTCCCCCCAGTACCTAACACAATTAAACAAACAAACAAACAAAATCCTAATACCCAATTTACTCTGTGTACAGGAGAGTTCTGTATTTCACTGTAGACTAGTAACTGAGCAGCCCTGTAGGATTACTGAGCTATCAAATGTGTTGTAAAATGTGATGTCATGGCACTTTGGAAGTCTCATTACGGAGTTTAACAGGTTTTGTGGTGTATTTTGCAGCATGCCCTTTCTGACAAGGCATGTGTGAAAGCCTTTGACCCAAAGACAACTTGCTTACAGGAATGCCTTATCACCACCTTCCAGGAAGCCTACTTTGTTTCAGAAAGTTTTGAAGAAGCCAAAGAAAAGATGAGGTAAATTTGCTTTCCTCCCATCTAGAGAAAATAACTTTTAATTTTCCTGGCTCTGTTCCTTCCTTCTATTTATCTCTTGTACCAGTGGGGGTTGATCGTATATTTTTCTATTTCTGTTTATTCTGCAGGGACTTTGCAAAGTCAATTACCCGTCCCTTCTCAGTATACTTCAATCCCTACACACAGAGTATTGAAATTCTGAAAGACACCAGAAGCATTGAAAACGTGGTGCAAGACCTTCGCAGTGATTTGAACACAGTCTGTGACGCCTTGAACAAAATGAACCAATATCTGGGGATTTGATGCCTGGAACCGGTGTTGTTGTCAGCATGATCTTTTTGGGGCTTAGCAGCAATTCAGTCAATGTCATTTAACACTGATAACTTTCTGTGTCAAAGCTAGTTAGCATGCAATTCCATGTATCTGTACCTACTTGTAACTTACTGTGTTAGTATGTAAAACACCAAAAGAAACCCAAATAACTACTTGTATGAAAGAATGTAATATGTTTAAGTGTCATAGATTTGACAAGGCTGCTTAGTGTCCTTAACCAAACTGCATCTATTTAAAATTTGTAGCAAATAACCCTCTTAGGATCCTAGCTTATGCCCTTTTCTTTCTCAGATTTGAGCCTTTTCCTCTGTGTTCATTACATAAAATGAAAACAACAGTGAAGCTGTTTCTATTTTCAATAGTATCAGTGTTTTCACAGCATTATTTGAGACAAACCTAGAATTGTAGGAAACTTCCCATCACAGTAACAAGAGATGCAATATTCTGTTTCAAAAATTGTTGAGGTAACAAAGTAGCTGGAATGATTTTTAGGTTGAGTATATATAAAATGCAAGAAAAGAGAACATTTTACAAACAGAATATATAGGTTGCATTGATCTTGTAGAAACTGAGTTGCGAGAAGCTTCCTAAAGTATTTTGGAAGATAAGATTCTAGAAAGGACATTAGGAAAAACTAAACAGCGGGCAATAAATCTTGTGACTATGAATTTTATGCTGGGATAAAGTGAATTATGCTCAGATGTTTAAAACACTTCTCTGGTTCAGAGGAGAATAAAATCACAGCTCTAAAGATCATCTTTTATTTCAAACATGTGAAAATTGAGTCACAGAGAAGTTAAGTGATTTGCCCAAAGCAGCACAGTTAATTGTGCACCTACATTTACAGTGTGTTGCCTTTTCCTTTTAGATTGCTGTGCAGTTCAACTTGGTATATATGTTTATGGGTCATCAGAGAAGGGAAACTAATGCATATCGAAACTAATGTTTATCACTAAATAGGACTTGGCTTGTGATCTAGCGTTGCCAGCAGTCTATATAATGTTTCCCCTCATGGCCCCAAACCAGGCCAGATCTAAGGGAGGTTATACACTTTCCCAAAATTTGGGCAACTTTGGGCAAACAGTAGTGATACACTACAAATATTTGGTGGTCCCTGACATAAAAGATAAAATCAGGTGATTAAGTGAACAAATAAAAAACCTGCTGAATGAGTGCATGAAATTCATCTCCTGATTCCTCATCAAACACAACTACTGTTCCTCCGATTCTGCTTTTGGTAGTGCAGAAAACTGGATGGGGAAGGAGGGAACAAGAAAAAGCAGAGAAGGAAAAGATGACAAAATAACTTTTAGCAATTTAAAAATATTTACTTGACCAAATTTTAAAGATGTTCTTTTAATAAGAAATTATATATAATTTCCAACTAACTCATACTCTATGTGGGATACATTGTGGATTAGAAATCTTTGGACTAACTATATTCAGGAAGAAGATGAGAAAGAATTAAAATAGGCATCAGGGAAAAGTTAAATTAAAATGAAAATTCAGAGATTTGGATATTGGTTATCTTAACTATTGAGTATCTTTCCTTTATAAACCATTTTCAGAACAACTAAATTTTTTTTTTTTTTTGTTTTTTGTTTTTGAGACAGAGTCTCGCTTTGTTGCCCAGGCTAGAGTGAGTGCCGTGGCGTCAGCCTAGCTCACAGCAACCTCAAACTCCTGGGCTCGAGCGATCCTTCTGCCTCAGCCTCCCTGGTAGCTGGGACTACAGGCATGTGCCACCATGCCCGGCTAATTTTTTTATATATATATCAGTTGGCCAATTGATTTCTTTCTATTTATAGTAGAGACGGGGTCTCGCTCTTGCTCAGGCTGGTTTTGAACTCCTGACCTTGAGCAATCCGCCCGCCTCGGCCTCCCAAGAGCTAGGATTACAGGCGTGAGCCACAGCGCCCGGCCAGAACAACTAAATTTTGAGAAAGAATGTGGTGGATAGAATGTGAGAGTCACAAAATTTAAATACTATTCTAGGTGAAGGACATAGTGCCTTGAAAAATTATTGATGGTCGAGAAATGATGAGCAAGCTGAACCAAATTTAAAAGATCTAGGATGATCAAGAAGTTGTATATTTTAATAGTTTAAAGATCTATAAATATATAGTTTCTCATATCTTGCTTTGCTATGTCTAGATGACTATGAATAACTATTTATTTATAAGTAATAATCCAGAGTAACAATCTAGAACAACAAATACCCAAATTTTCAGAACTAGTTGCTGAATTTTCTCAGAAAAAAAATTGGCTAAGAAACTCTTAGTATATGCCTTTCATGTTGTTTTCATAATCTGGTATTGTTTAGACTGTTTAGACATAAGTCCTAGAGTTCTGTCATATTTTCATTTCTTTAAAAAAATAAGTAGCTATTAAGCTTTTCCCTTCTAGTCCCATGATAAAGTGGAAGCTTCTTAGTGAAATGTACTTGAGGGAGAATTATATTTAATTGTAAACAAATTCCCTCTACAAAAACAACACTTGAGGTGTCTTCTGCTTGGCTCATAGTAGAATCCAGTTTTCTTACATGTGCAAAATTTATTTTGTCTCAAAAATATTATAGAAGAGATAGAGTTGCAAAGTAAATAGGCTTTCCCACAGAGCTTTTATAGGTACCATACAAGGAGGAGGAATTACCTGATTCTTTTTAGATTTGTTCTCCATTCAGAATAGCAGTAACGATGGTTTTCACCCTGTGAAACAATGGAATCATGGTTTTCATTTGTTGTGAGCATTTAACATGCAAATGCCATTACAGCTAATGGTGGGAAAAATCCTATAAAATTTAATAGTCATCATAGGAAAAGTGTTGGCAGAAAAATTCCCTGCATAGAAATAGTCAACAAAATAATCACAGCCAGCTTCTTGTCATATCTGATACCTACTCAGTGTAACCATTTGTCTCAATTATGCCTCATGACTTAAAGCTAAATTAAATAGATCCAAGGGCAATTATAAATTTAAAGATACTTTCTCACTGTCATCTCAATGTGAGTTGTTACTTTATTTTGGCTTTGCTGCTGACTTCTCTAATCAGTTAATCAGAAATCAACACAAAGTTCCTGGCAAGACCAGGTTTCTTATGCATAATACTTTGCAAAAAGTAGCCAAAATCTTGATTAGTCTAGCTGTATTCTTGAAGCATATTTGTCTGTTATGAGTTAGGTTCAGGCATACAATGTACTCTTGAATGATCAGTTTATTTGGCATAATAAGACTGTAATTGACTGTTTATAAATTATACCTTTTAATAGTGGGGAACTTTGACCCAAGTTTGTTTGTTTGTTTTCACATTTGTGGTAAGGGTTGTGGGACTTGGGTTTCTGGTTTAGTCTCATTTATTTACAGTGTAATTTAGAAATGATGCTTTATGGGCATGATATATCTGTGCGTGTGTTGCTTGCTTATAGTAAATGGGCCTGAGCCTAATGATTGTAAAGTATTGCAACATTTACCAACATGAAAAGTCTAAAATGAAAAACAGTGTGCTTTAATGTGGAATCAAATAGAAATACAAAGTTTCATTTTCAAATGGAGTCATGGCTCACATCATCTCATTTTCTTCATTTGAGGAGGAAAACATTAACACAAGATGTTGTTGTCCTCCAATTCATTTGATCTAATTTTCAACTTCTAAAGAATCAAGCCCTGATGCTTACTCTCATGAACCTTGTCTTACTTATAATGAATAAGAAAGCAGCCCAGAGTTTTTCAGTGTGTCTGAGGTTTTTTTTCCTTCTTCAATTTTCAAAGACATTCTCTTATTTTGGGAAATGATTTTTATGCAAATGGTCATATTCTGGGGAGAATCAAGGGAATTAACAGTGGGATATTGCTTCTTCCATTATTACATATATTCAAAATAAACTTTACATATATTCAAAATAAACCACTTCTGGCACATAAAATGGTGGTTCTTTATAATGTGTCTTAGGGTTTCAAAACATTCATAGATTCAAACATTTCCTAGAACATGTCAGGCACTGTTTAAGGCACTCTTGCAGATACTGAGGATGAAGTTGTGAATAAAACAGAGGAGGTTTATACCCACTTTGAACATTGTAGTAGTGAGATACAGACAAAAAAACAGAAAATTTGAAGTTATGGCAAGTTTTATAAAGAAAATAACCAGGGTGATTTGATAAAGAGTAGTGGGGAGTTGGAGACAGGGGGCTGGGAAGGCCTTTCTGACCAGCAGGTATTTGACCAAGAACCATGGGATGAGAAGAAGCCAGGCACGAAGAGGGCCATGGAAAATGTTCCTGGAAGAGAGACCACAAAGACCAAAGGATCTAAGGCAGGAATGAGGTTGGTGTGTTTGAGGAAGGGATAGATTGCCAGCAGTCTAGAATAGAATAATATCAGGGCAGCAAGGGAGGCCAGGATGAGAGAGAACACAGGGTTTCCTAAGGAGTCAGGTGTACTCCAAGCAGTGGAAAGCCACTGGAGAGCTGTAAGGAAGAAAGTGGGCTGATTTACCTTGTTCAGAGCTCGCTCAGGCCGCTCTGTGGACTTGGAGTGTAATGGAGTTGGATGGTGGGATGGGGATGAGAGATGTCGCAAAGCCAGTTAAGAGGCCATTGCAATACTGAGGCCCTACAAAGTCAGTATCTTGCTGGATCTTGGTGGGTATTATTAAAACTAGTTGTAATCAAATAAGTTACAAAGTTAAGTGGGTGGATGAGAACCATCAGATAAAAAACTGGGGGAAACTGGAATAACTCATACCTGGGTTGATTCTCATTTGACTGGCAAAGCAGTCATCCAGTGCCTACCTGCGTCTTTCACAGATACTTGAAGCTTCCTTTGACAAAATAACAGGCTTAACTTTCTCTGACCAGCTCTTATGGAAAGAAAGCTAGACTGGAAAGCAAATGTCTTTATTTTTTTTTTCTTGTGACTCACACATACTGATGGCAGAAGCATAAATGAAGTAGAAAATGAGGTATTATTGGTGAATGCTGGTGGTGCTGACACATAGGGTAATTCAAGACAATAAAAGCTCCCCAAGCCCCAGGCAAATGGAATAGTTGTGTTCACTGTCCACTCTGGCCATTTCTATAGGAATAGACCATATAAATGTAAGTGAATTCGTTAAGTCTATTTCCACTCTTTTTGTTGTCTTCCATCTCCCCAAATGCGTATTTCAGATATTTCAGGAAGGGTTCACTTTCTGTGATTTCGTCCTCTCTCCAAGAAGGATGGGTCTGGTGCAGCAGCTGGAAGTATATTTCCTTCTTGGGGAAGATTGCAGTGAGCCTGATGTTCAACCCAAGGGCATCTGTGGTTATGGTGCCTGTAAACAGCATTCTCATAATCCAGTCTGGATACAGTTTTTATAATTGAACAACAAAAGCATCTGACAGATGTGGGCAGGGTAATTTGAAAGCTAGATGGCACAAAGAAATCAAGTTCATTTTCTGTCAAAATCAAATCTTTAAAAAAAGATGCAAAGCTTGCCCTCATTTTATAGGTTGAGAAAGATAATATTAATTATTCTAAGGTGGTAGGAAGTTTCTGCTCCCTCCACTTTTTCTGGATCCTTTGCAGTCTCCTTGCTTTTTAGCTTGTTCATTTCCATGGAACTAGCAAGATGCTGATTCAGTAGGTCTATTATTCCCAAAGGTTTGCAAACCACTGAACACATCTAATGTACAGCTTGCCCAATTTTAGTGAACA